CCCTCTGGTTTTCATGACTAGCTAGGCATTGTTTCTCTCTTGTATCGTCTCCCCCCTCTATCATGGTTTTCCCACTTAAGGTGCCTGCACTTCCCCCCCTTTCTTCCTTACTAATACCCTTGCTCCCATGATCCTACCTCTGTTGAACTATATTAACTTTTAAGGTAAAAGATTTTAACTTGGAAAAATTGTCCACTGTGTGAGTAGAAAATCGTAAGTACTTGATTAAATAAAGAACTAAAGCCAGAAGATGATATAAAAAGTTCAAATAACTCAAACATTGCTTTGTCATAAACTACCCATGTTTTCACCTCTCGGCTCATATGAACCTCAAAAACTTACCAACTATCTCAATTCACACGTTGAATAAATGGTCAGAAATTTCATTGGCACAGTATTCCTGTGTTTTAAATCCAGCTGACTTACAAAATATGTGACTATGATATTGATCCACATAACTGAGTGATAAAACGAGGCTAACAAGACTGTGTCTCAAAAACAAAGCACACAAACCACACACACAATTTTAATCTTTTGCATCTCATGCTCCCACTCCTTCCTTGGCATGTAGACAGTGAGTTCTTTTTAATTTGTTGAGAACTTACTAAGCGTAAGTTAGAAGTCAAATGCTTTGCCTCCAGCTCTGCCACTTATTCATAATGTGACTATCTAGAGAGTGACATAACCTCTCCAAAGCATAATCTTTGAACTGTTGGAGGAGAGCACATTAATCTTATACATCTTACAGAGCTATTAAAAGAACTGTGTCATTTGGATGTAAATGTTAACTATATTAATGCCCAGAACTTTTCACTGGCGCCAGGTCCCTCTTGTTATCCAAGCCCCTGGGGAATCTGTTCCATGTGAGAAATGATGAAATTGAGAATATACTGTAGTATGGTCATAGCACAGAGCAGAAGAGAGTTAGGAAAGGGGGCCTCGCACAGGTTTGACTTGATTCACCTTCTTTTTATTTTCTAAAATCTTAAGGCTTGTAGCCCTGTGAACCCCATATCATCCCTCCCCTCCTGACTGCTTGATTGAGCATGTGTATTTCCACTGTACACTGGCTGCTCTATATTGGCCTTCTGTGACACCTAGGCACGAATGGATGTTCTCATTGTTGCTTTCCTACTTTGGTCCTTTATTTTATAGACATGGTTTCTTTTTGTTTGACCCACAGCTTCTCCTCTTCCTTAAAGCCTTTTCTGAAACGGAGCAGACAAAGTTGGCAATGCTGTCTGGGATCCTGCTGGGCAATGGCACCCTTCCAGCCACCATCCTCACCAGTCTCTTCACTGACAGCTTAGTCAAAGAAGGTAATCACACTGGGGTCTTCTAACAAGAAAGGAAAAGAAAAGAAAAAGGAACACCATAGACAAAAAAAAATACCTGTACTTCTTTTTGTGCATTTATCTTAAGTAATAAAAAGAATGTAAGGAATTAGAAGAAAAGTTGCTCACCTAAAAATAGATATTTAAATAATTAATTACAAACTAAAATCTTAGGCTGATTGAATACCCTGAATTTGATTAGATGCAAACTACTTCTCACAGCTAAGATGCCTTCTTTATTTAGATAACCTTTCATTGCCCAGGAATGTTTTGTGCCTTGTAAGATTTTGCTGCCCTTAGAGATAAAATGCCAGCCTGAAACACGTATTTAATATAGCAACCAGAAATACCCCATCATATTTTCAGAATGTCCCCCAAACAGAACCCTTCTAATCTGTCAAGATCTGGGGAGCCTAACATCAGGCTGAGTCCTAAGGGTCACAGGTTCAAGGCCAGTCTGAACCATATAACAAGACCCTGCCTAAATTAAAGAAAAAAATTTTTAAGGAGCTGGCATTGGGGCTGGAGAAATGTCTCAGTGGTTAAGAGCACTAACTGCTCTTGCAGAGGACCCAGATTCGATTCCCAGCACCTACATGGTAGCTAACAACCTCCTGTAACTCCAGTTCCAGGGGATCTGATGTCCTCTTCTGACCTCCTCAAGCATTGCACGATGCAGGTGCACTTATGTACATGCAGGCGATACACTCATGCACAGAAAATAAAATTAATAAATAAATTCTCATATATTCATTTTGGTCACATTTTTAAGGCATCTGGGACTGGAAAGAGTACTCAGTCTAAGAGTGCTGGCTGCCCCTGCAGAGGATACAAGCTCAGGTCCCAGCAGGTCACAACTGCCTATAACTCCACTCTAGGGAATCCAGCACTCTCTTCTGGCTTTTGTGGGTACCAGCATGTACTTGCACATACAGGCACATACACAAACACACACACACACACACACACACAAGTAGTAAAATTTTAAAAGACGGTGAATAGTTTCAGAAGTCAAAATTGCTGTAAAAGAAAGAGATTTGTCTCGATTTTAAGGCATTAATAGTTTGACAGGCACTCCGGCAATAATTGGATTAAAGAGTAAAACAAAAGTGGGCTGTTTTCTTGAATAATGGTATTCAAATTACATCTTAACACAAAACAGTTATTTTCCTTAAAAATAAACTGAAAGAGCTTTTGTTAGAGCATCTGTTTCTTGTGAAAACCTAAAAGATTTTCCTCCTACATATATGAAATCTCAGTCTCATGCCCATAGGTGAAGGGGGTTATAATTTGCTTGTAGTTAGGGGGGGAAAAAGTTAAGTCAAGATACAAGTGGTATTATATGGAGATTTTCTGCAGTGTTTGGCTTAAAGTAGCTCTGATTTATGACAACCCACATTCTGGTAGTGCATTGTTGATTTCAGTATATTTGAAAGTATTTTCCTGAAGCAAACTCATGACATTTTATGTATCTAATTCTATTAGCCATTTTTCTATTAGCCATTTATACAGAAAAGAATGTAGAATTTAAACTTTACAAATTAATAATACTAAATTATCCTAGCTATCATATCAAAAAATTAGTGCCTCATTAGTTGTATTGAAAACCTAAGTGGGAGTATATGGGCCGGATGTGGTGGTACTTGCCTTTAATCCTAGCACTTCGGAGGCAGAGGCAGATAGATCTCTGTGAGTTCGAGGCTACCCTGGTCTACATAGTGAGTTCCAGACCAGCTGGGGCTTCATGGAGACCCTGTCTCAAAAAGACAAAAAAAAAAAAAAAAAAAAAAAAAAAAACCCTAAATGGGAACTGGAGAAATGTCTCAGCAGTTAACGACACTTGCAGCTCTTCTAGAAAACCTGTGTTCAGGGGTTCAGTTCCCAGTACCCACATCAAGTGACCTATAAACGCTAGTTCCAGTAAATCTGATGCCCTCTTCTGGTCTCCAGGCACCTGCACATATTTTCGCTCAGGTACATATACACAATAAATATGTATGTTTGTTTGTTTTAAGAAAATACCCAAGGAGCCAGGTGTAGTGGTGCACAACTGTAGTCCTAGCACTTGGGAGGCAGAGGCAAGCGGATCTCTGTGAATTCAAGGCCAGCCTGGTCTACATAGTGAGCTCAAGGCCAGCTGGGGCTTCAGGGAGACCCTGTTTCAAAAAGACCAAAAAACAACAACAAAAAAACAAAAAAAGGAAAAGGAAAAGAAAATACCCAAGGGATACCTGTGCATTCTGTTGAAGCATATCTGAAAATATAAATTATCAAATGGATAGATGGTAAACTAGCGTTGCAAATAGTAACTGTTACAGAATTGAAATCGTGTGTATGTGACTCTTAAGTTGTATATCTTTTCTGCGTATGAAATTAGTTATAGTAAAATGGGAAGGGAAGTGACCTTGTATCTGCATCTTGGTTTTCCCCTATTCTTTATTTTCATTAGAGACCAGTGAGTTAAACATTTGCTTCCTAATTAAGTAAGGATTAAGCAGTTAGACGTTCCTTAACTTCCTACCTGCTAAACATCCAAGGGAATAGAATCATTCCATTCATCAGAAAAGTAGCTACATCAAAAATTCCAGATTGTTCATCAAGAGTTTCCTTTAACACAAAGTGATAGGTTTAGATCTAGTTTGTTATGCTCCTTTTTTGTTGTTGTTCTTTTTAAGAGAGGGTCTCCCTGTAGCCCCAGCTGGTATTAAAGGTGTGTACCACCACACCCAGCCCATATACTCCAAACTTAATTTTCTTTCTTCAAGACAGACTGCAGCACTGCAGCGTAGTATTTTTATTTTGTTACCTAAATTTATATTAATGGCATATGGATTTTATGAACAAATAATGATGTTTAAAATCCATCCTTGGGTTGGGGATGTAGCCCAGTGATAGAGCATTTGCCTACCATGTATAAAACCCTGGGTTTCATCTCCAACAACACAAAAAGAAAAAAGTTGTGTTAAAAAGTAGTTGCTATAAATGAATCGTGACCAAATCTATAATTTGTCCCAGTCACTATTAATCCTTACCTGCATCACTTAAGAGCAAATCAGCTGTCATTTGTTGACATTACCACTTTTGCCTCATTGAGCTTCAAATCATTACTTTTTATTTCACAAATAGGAGTGTTTGTCATTATTATAAATCTGAATCTGTGCTCCTGTAATCCCAGTGCTTAGGAAGCTGAGGTAGAAGAACTGTGTATTTCTGGCCAGCCTGGGCCAGACTCTTAACTCAAAAGGAAACAAAAATTAAAAATGAATGTCTGAATCTCAGATAGATTCTTGGACTGTTGGCTCCTGTACATCAGCATGTCCAAACTCAGCATCTGTGTCAGTCCCTGTATTCTCTAGAGACACAGCTTTCACCATGAACATCAAACTTGTGCTTCAGCATTTTGACTTTTGTAGTGAAGACATTATGAAGGGGATGAATGGACTCAGAAGCCTTTTCTGTGTCTCCCCCACTGCTGTGTAGCGTAACATTATTGATCACGTCTTTGAAGTCTGTGGCCTGGGTCTCTTGGTCATAACTTCCACTATCTTTATGCACATTTGGTCACTTGCTAGTGCTGAGCATGGGAGATTTCCTATGTCTGATTGTTGTGTTTTCTAGTAAAGCCGACACAGACAGACAGATACAGTCTGGGCATCAACTTGAGTTTCAATTATGGCTTGCCATTTGTTGACCATAGAACACTTGATCCTGGATAAGGTCCATGCCATGAAAGCAAATGGGATTCATCCCTGTGTTCATCAGCAAGACTCACTTAACTCAGTTAAGTGCTTACTGAGCAAGCATGAGTACCTGAGTTTTGTTCTCAATAACCACATAAAAACCACATAAACATGGTGGTACATGTTTATAATCCAATGCTCAGAGGCAGAGACGGCAGGATACCTGGGGCTTGCTGGCAATCAGCCTTGCCTAATTGGAGAGCGCCAGACCAATAAAGAGATTCTGTCTCAAAAAATAAGGGAACAAGACCCAAGGTTGACCCTAGGTTGACCCTATGGCCTCCACACACATTCAAATACACACTCAGGAAATATAAATAAGCACTAAATAACAGGTATGCCAAGTTAGAATTAGGAGTCCAGTTTTGAAAACTACTTTTTTTTTTTCCTTCTTTTATTTTGGTTTTGCTTAATATATGGGATATCATCTTGCAGCCCTGCCTGGCTTCAAACTGACTGTGTAGATTAGGCTGGTCTGAAACTTTTAGCAACCCTCTTGCCTGGGCTTCCTAATGCTGGAATTATAGGCATGTGCTACCATGCCCGGTTCCTTCTCTTGAAAGTGTTGTCTGTGATGTGGAGAGAGGAGACCTATACCTGCAGGTCCCTCCATTTTTCCTTTGTCCCAAATGGAGTCTTTTAGCTATTACCCATTTCAAAAATCCTAGAGTCAGAAATGTTGCCTTGTATATCACAAGTGCTTCTGCAAACACAGAAATGAAATTCTCCTTTTTTTAAACAGGCATTGCAGCCTCATTTGCTGTCAAACTTTTCAAAGCCTGGATGGCAGAAAAAGACGCCAATTCTGTTACCTCTTCCTTGAGAAAAGCCAACTTAGACAAGAGGCTGCTCGTAAGTGTTTTCAAAGACTGGCTGTGCGATGGGTCTGTCAGGGCTTTGGCAGGGCCTGCCGAGCAGAGCATGAGGAAGATGCCAGAGTCTGTGCTGAGCTGGATTTGTGTTCCTTTATTTCTGCGTAATGAGCACGTAGAAACTAATTCCATTTTAACCTTTCTAGATAGCCTAATATATTAAGGAATTATATGTGACTAGTTTTGTCAGTCTGATTGAATTAAAACACACCTAGGGCACTAATGAAGCACACCTTTAGGAGGACTGGAGGGGGCAGGTGCAGAAGGCCATGGGTCCTCCCCATGGAATAAAAAGAGGGAAGAAAAGAGTACCGACCAGCACGCTCCTTCATCTGTTCCACTTTGGACTCTTACCTTACATGCCTTTCCCCAACCCCCCAACTGTGAGAAAAAAATAAACCCTTCTTTGCTTAAGTTGTGTTTTGCCAGATGTTTGGTCCTATCTATAGAAAACTCACTAATACAATTAGAGAGAATGCAGAGACTTTCCGATTTGGAAGTTTATTGGCATAGTATTAACACTGTATCAAAAGCAAAGCTTTTCTTTTGAGGCTGGTAGAGAACTTACCTAGCCTGCTCAAAGCCATCCTGGATACAATCCCCAGCACGATAGAAACAAACAGATGATTTCTTTTGAAACCATTAACTTTATGCAAACCTAAAGTTTTCATTTGATTTAAAAAAATACCAGTAATCTCAACTAATTAGATATTTGTGATATCTTAGGTAGGAGTACCATTATATTATTTTAATAATTTGTATGTATGTATGTATTTATGAATGTAGGGGGCATGCATACTACAGTGCACATGTTGAAGTCAGGACAATTTGTAGGAATCAGTTCTCCTACTATATGGGTTCCAGAGATCAAACTCAGGCCATTGCTTGGTGGCAAGCACCCTGACACCTTAAGCCATCTCACAGTCCCACATTACACTATTTTTTTTTTTTTTTTTTTTTTGGTCTTTTTATTTTGAAGCAGGGTCTCCCTGTAGCCCCAGCTGTCCTGGAACTCACTATGTAGACCAGGCTGGCCTTGAACTCACAGAGATCCCCCTGCCTCTGCCTCCCAAGTGCTGGGATTAAAGGCATGCGCCACCACGCCCGGCCACATTACACTATTTTTAAACTTGTTAATTTGCTGACAAAATAGGAGAATATAAACAATTGTATCTTAAGTTACTGAAAGCAAACTAGTTAATTATAGTTTATTTAGGGATTCCAAGATCACAACTGCTTGATTATATTTTTTATTTCTCCATCGTTTTTTTTTTCAATGAAAATCAAAAAAATTATTTCTTATAGTTTGTGTCTTCCCCCTACAATTTCCGCTAGAAACAATAACTTTGCAGATGTCAAAAAATCTCTCCAAGCAGAATTAATTTGTAATTCTAGACAAAGGCTAAAAACTGAGATGCTCTGACATTTCCTCTTCACCTGCTCTCTTCTCTTGAGAGTGTTTCGGTGTAAAGTACCGACCTCATTCTTGAGGCATTTACTACACAACACCACATTACAGCTATGCCTGAATACAACACAACCTAGCTCTTAGCATCCATTTTAAAGCCAGGAGCAGTCTTGAACGGCTGAGAACCTGTAATGGAATTGTGTGGACTTCGGTGCTAAAAGCTTTGTCCTTAAATGTTTCTAGCTATATGAATTGAATTAACTGCTAAATTTATTGATACTTAGTTTAGTTTAACATGTAGAAACATTTCTCCTTTAGGGCTTGTAAGATGGCTGGACATGTGGGAGTGCTTGCCACCAAGCCAGATGACTGTAGTTCAAGTCCCCTTGAGCCTGCAGTGTAGAAGGACAGAACGGACCCCCACAAGTTGTCAACTGACCTCCACACAAACACTTTGGCACACTTAGGCTCATATACACACACACGCACACACACACACACGCAACAGATGATAGATGAATGAAAGAAATTTTAAAGAAAAATTTCTACTTCAAATAATGACAGAAAGCAAATTACAAAAAGTACTTGGGAACGGCTGGGGACACTGACAACACAATGGGCCTTAACAGGGATGACAGAGTATATAGGCTCCAGTGGGGGAGGGGCTATGGGCGGGTCCCAGTGGAGACAGGGGCACAAAGATGATCAAGATTGTTTGAGATGTCCTGTATGAAATACACAAAAATTTCAATAAATTTTTTTAAAAGTTAAAGAAAATACCAGTAACATTTTTATTTAAAAAAAAAAGAACCTCCCTATTTCCGTAAAATGGAATTAGCTCCTTTTCCTAAATTTGGAAGGTCTGAAATGGTAGTGTAAATGTTAATGGTGAAATCTTAGTGTGATAGGAAATGATTATTTTCACATGTATGCCCATTTGATAATACAGAGATGGTTTACATGATGATGCCCCTGTTACAGATCTTTTCACTGAGACTTTCATAGGAAATCACATAGTATTTAGATGTATGCTTGCAGATTTAACTGATATAAAGTTTAGATTTGACAGCCTGACAATGTGAGAGCTTTGAAAATTGCCTCCTTAATTTCATAGTTGAGTGTTGAACTCACACAGGATTAGATCATGACTAAGTGTTTCTGAGCCTCTGCCAAGCTGCATAGGGTAAAATGAAGTAATGAAAATATGAACCCAGCTATAGTGTTTTGCTCTTTTTTTTTTTTAAGGAAAAAATTCCATCTGAATTATGTAATAAACTGAACAGTTGGTGAGAGTGGGTTTAGATTGAGTCTCACTAAGAACTTAATTGAGAGGCACCATCATTAACAGGTAATAACAGAATCCTCCACAGCTTCTTTTCTGTCTCAGAAGAGCAGCAGAATTTGCTGGGAATGAGAGCAGAGGTCCACAGAAAGAGGAAGACAGCATTACTTTTCTGGCCAATCATTATAGCTTTACTAAAACAGACATTTGG